ACGTGTCTTTTTTGCACATGTACATGTATACGCGATTAAATTCACACTGAATCCTCTAAAGAAGGAGAAAAATCAAAAGAGACAGTTGGGTATAAGTGACATAAAACAGTTATGGTGCTCATATTAACGCTAGTAAGTCAGCGGTTTTATTGAAGAAGAACAGAAAATCAGGCTTATGGTGCACTAGCGGGATACCCGAACAGGAAAGTTGACCTCGGTCCAAATTCCATAGAAAATAAGGTTAGTTTGAAGATGGGGTTAGATTAGGTTCCGGGTTAGGCTACGGGAACAAATCTATTACAGAACTCCACGCGAAAACCAAACCCCAAAGAATTCTGTGATACGTAACCGGTGGTAACTGCAGTTTAGTCTCATAGTTACTGCATTATTTTATTAACTCAATGTATTATTTTAATTATCGCACGTTTTGCCATTGCTATACATTAGTTTTTCTAATAAGTTTATGTATTCTTTCATGATTTTGCTTTATATATTGCCCCACCCGTACAACCCCTTTTACCAACGGTCCCGTATTAACTAATTCCGGGGTTTGGTTTCCGCAATAAGCCCTATAGTAGACTGTTCGCGGATACAGAATATTTACCCACCCTGGAATTTAACACAAGGCTACCTGTATGACGTATGGAGACTTCCGGTTCCCGTGCCCTGTAAGAGGGAGGGGAGGGGGGGCAATGCCAACGGAGAATTTAAAATTTTCCCCATTTTGGAAAGAAAAGCTAATTTATGGCAACGGACAATGAAACGGGAATAGCAACTGGTCGGATAGCGTGTGTCACATGACAGAATTTTACCCCAGCTCCACAGGCAGCCGGAGGAGGAGGATGTCGTTGACGCCACATTTTCACGGGGCACAGTTTTGCTGAATCTATGAGTTCTTCAGTTCAGTACAGCAAAATATGTGACGGTTTCTTCTTTCAAAAGAGTAGTTTGCGAGCCTACGTAGGCTTTCGATACATTCTCATCGGGTCATTACGGTTATATGGGAACGCGATACAAGCTAAACAAACAATTAATAATGTTCGATAAGGGAAAGATGGTTAATCTGGGAGGGTATGGTGGAGGCAGTCTAGGAGAGGGGGGGGAGAGGGGGAGGAGAGGGAGATAAAGCGAGCGCGGAAAAGTACATGCACCCAAGTGGCTGTAGGCCATTCCAGATGTGGAGCTTATGGGGGGTTCTTTTGCGCACACAACGCCGGCTTCATCCGCTTGATATCGGTTGCTTCTGCGACGGACAGAGTTGTCACTTGGATCATGCTAGGTTAAGTATGAACTGGAAGCAAAAGAAGCAAGAACCATAAATAACTTCACAGTACAAACTTTTCGATACAGTCGTGCATATCGTATCGACCGTAGGGCTTTGAAATGGTTAGTCCTCCGCCAGCAGGCAATAACTCAATACCACTTGTCCTGACTTACTGCAACTACTATAAGCTTCGAGCGGATACAAATTGAGCACTGGGAAAGTCATCCTCCTTGTCTGAGAGGAAGATGCATGCTCGATCATTTTGCAGTCAGGGTACCTGGGCGCAGAAGGACGTCATGTTAGCCATACTGTAACTAAGAAATGGCCATTTGAAAAGGCATTCCTTCATGATTTGTCTGTGCGACTGAAAAACTGTAATGGTATGAGCGAGCTCCCTAGACACCTGTTATTTTACCGTTTCAGAAGTCGCTTAGCATTCTATTAATCTGCATGTCTGCGTTTTGGTTAATGTCTTTATGTATGAATATTAATAGGTAACCATCCTAACAAAACGATGGAAGGATGTCTTCATGCTTTCCTTTCTGTCGAAAACTGGCAAGTTGCGAGGGGAAGGGAGGGAGTCAAGATGTCCTTCTCGACCGAACATGGCATTAACTGAACTGCTGGAAAAAATGCGCATTCTTCAGGTAAGTAGCCGATAGATAGGTCATTTGACCTAACCAAGAAATTTATATAAACTATTGCTAATCAGTTTTTATCGTGTATTAAAACTTTATCTTCCGCCTTAGTGCGCAAATGTTACGCACTCGACTGGCACCCGGCTGACAGGCAGACCGAGGCAGTTTCATTCGATGATAAGAGAAGCAAAAACAGGGGAGAACGAGCGTAAACGTGAGAGATGTAGGGGGTTCTTGTCGAATTTTACGTACGGTTTTATCTAATCAATACAAAACGGCCACCTGTGATCCTTCTATTTAGGAATTCTCTGCACTAACCAAAAGACCTATTATGCATGTGAACCAACTAGGTCCTCCGAGGTCATTGAGCTCTGGGGTTGGCTGAAGACGGCTTATAAGCCAGAACTGGCCAACTCAGTCTCCCTTCTTTTACTCGGCAATCCTCTGCGTATATCGCAGGTTACTATGCGAATGCTTGTGAGAACCCCAGATTCAGTCCTGAGGCGCAATGAAACGAACACTTTTTCCGTGATCTGATCGATGAAAACCCTTAATACGATGCAGACAACGAGCTCGTGGCTTAATGGTCAGAGCTTTATACTTCCAAGAAAACGGTCACAAAGTTGAGCCCCGGGTGGTACACCACTTGGGATTGAGTATGACTAGATGACGACGGCAAATGAGCCAGTAATGGCTATTCTCGTCTCCTAATACAAGCGAACGTGCGGGTCCCAGGAAGTAATTGAGAAGTAGAAGACGACTCAATCGCTGGGACAATATGTTTATTCACCTGACTTTTCGAAATCCGTCGCGGATTCATCATCAGAGACATACTCACAGAACAGTAGCACAAACAGTTTGCGTGTGCATAGGGCTCCACCGTAAAATTTAAACGTACAGAAAAAAATCGATAAATGCCCTGAGTGTGTGCTGATTCGTTGCGTCAGCAATGACCATCTGATCCTGCGGTGTTGGCATAGGATGATGTGGTGACCTGTCTGCTCCCCGAGCAGCGACTTGTTTTTGTGCCAAATTTAGTCTCAGCACCGAGTATGGATTGGGCAAATCGTTGCACTTGTTGATGGATTGGGAGCCCGTGAACCATGACTCAAGTCATGCTCGGCTCAGCCAATTTTCACCTCTTGCGAGAATTTCGGCCTCATCAAATTTGAATGTGTGGCCG